ACTTGCTTGACACCTACCGGGTATGTACAAAGTTTATTTGAAATATATTAAAAGTTCTAAAATAGGCTAATTGAATGCAAATTAGATAATAAATATTCATAGATGTCAACCAAAAAGTAATTGGATATTTATATTATCCTGATACATCTGTGTATCACATTTCATTGAAAGAATTCTTAAGATCTATCGTGTAAATTGAATTGACAAATTATTACACAAATTAGGTAATTCATAAACATGAATTTCTACCATGACATGTCAGTGCATTAAGCCAATGCATCTGTGTTCCAAGTTTCATTGAAATATGTTGAACGGTTCTTGAGAAATCAGTGGAACAGCTGAAAATTGACATCATTAATGTTATACGAGTTCATTATCCAAGAATATCTAAATAAAATTTCAGTGAAATCCGAACAGGGCTTGTAAGATACTGGTGGAATAGGCATACATTCAGGGTAACCACAAAGATCCCAATGTGTGCTTGGCACACAAGAGTCAAAAATAAATAAATAAATAAATAAATGAATAATTACAGTCTCAGAAATATTGGGGCAATTTGCAAACTCGTTAGCGAATTGGCCAGCGAGATTCATAAACCAACTGTTTAGTCAAAACCCAAGCAGTTAGCCAATTCGCTAGCGATTTTGCAAATTGGCTTGCTGTAGATAAAGCACAAACGAGAATCTTATTTTAATCAGCATTTCAATAATAGTTGGTAGTAATATTAGTAGTAATTATTCAAAATAGTCATTTGCATGTAACAGTAACAAATTTTGAGAGATATAAGAAAAATAGTGCTTAAAAATTTGGGCCAGAATGTCTGAATGTAATTGATCCATGCATGTCTAAGATATAGGTTTGAATGTGCGCACGAATGCACAGACACGGAGGTATGCACAGAGGTCAATCCATATAAAAAACAGAAATTTTGTTGCTTTAAGTTTTTGTGGACCTAGGATACAGATTTTCTGAATAGTTGTGTACATATGCATTAAATGTAGTACAATCTCATAAAAATGAAATGCAATCTTCAGAAAGATCTTTATCCTCTGTGTGAATCAAAATGTATCACCATACAAACTCTAATTTAGACAACATTTTTTGAACATTTAAAACTTTCATGACTCCTAGATTAGAGACAAATTTAGGTTTTTCATATTCATTGACGCCTATTCAAGAGTATGATGTTTATCATGGCTAAGCGTGAAAAGGTAAACTTTCTTTTGACAATGAGGTGTTATCACCGTAAAAAGTGTTAAATTCTTCTTCAATGCTCAGTTCATCTTTAGAAAACAAACTAATTTGTTGTTTTCCCATCAAAATCAAAGCCAAAAGATCACACTACAACATCAGAAAATCTCTCCCGTGTTGCATTCACCATGAAGTCACTGAACTGTCATTAACATATTTAAATGAGCTATGGTAATTTGAACATGTTGACACCATCCAGCATTTTGATTGGTTAAATAGCAACTTCAGGTCAAAGAACACAGTTTCAAGTCAATTAGTGTGCATGGAAAAAACATGGCGGCTATCAAGTGTTTACATGTGACCAAAATCGTTCGCTTACGATGAAACTAAGTTGAATTTTACTTTATATTTTTTGTACATTATTACAATCACTACTGAATAATAATCAACAATTGCAACACTTTGAAAACAAGTAAGTTATTCACTTGTGAAACGCAGCATGACCAGATTGTGCTACCAAGCCGTAATCATTTGCTACTAAGCAATGCATTCATGTCTATTTTTATTTGAAACTATTTTCAGAATATACTTTTCATTACCTACAAAATTGAAAAAAATTGATGCATATTACATTAAATATACTGAAAATTTTTTTGTTATGTCAACAGTTTTTTTTGATTGACTGTAATTTTTCAACATTTCGTGACGCCTATTTTAGAATCAAATTAAGGCTTTTCACTCTTCCCTGACGCCTAAATTAGAGTGACGCCTATTCAAGAGATAATACGCTAGTATGTATTTTTTTTCCCCATCACAATACAGTTCTCCAGCTGTTTTGTAAAATATTAAGTTTTAAATTATGGTAAGTAATGATCAATGATATGCAAGTGCAAAAACTTTACCAATTCCCAAGGCAGCATCTAACTTCATTGCAGGAACAGAACAAGACAACTGAGACTTTAATCAACAGTTAAGAAGATAAGAAAGCACTGCCTGTAACTACAGAAGGGTATATATCATAGTAAATGTCCAGTACGATATTTTCAAATCAACAATCCACATATCACTGCCAATTTACAACTGGTTATTGCTTCTGCTTTAATCCTAGAAGTTTTATAGCCAGCTGCGATTTGGTTCCGAATAGACTCCGACAATGACCCAATGCACATTCTATATTGGTTTG